CCCCCCCCCCCCCCCCACCACACACACACAGAAAAAAAATTATACTTTAATCAGTGCTCACATGCTTTTGCTTATGCTTCATGACGTGCAAAGGCTGTCCTGGTAAAATTACGCATTGCAAATCTCCGAGCAGACTCCTTTTTCAGAATCGTATTTAAATTGATTCAAATTAAGTTCCAGCAAATTGTCAAGGCAGATAAACCTGACCCGACCAATAGCCCGATCGTCAATAATTATAATTTATAAAACCACCAGCGATCCATGTTTAGGTGCTGTTATAGCCACTTTCTCCGGTCTGTGGATTAATTTTTAATTTTTAAAAGAATTTGGTTCTACTTTTATGCACCCTGTATCTATGGTTTTCAACTTGGATTTTTTTATAATTCGCTGTATTTGTCTCCTCCTCCCCCTCTTTTATATTTTCACCAAAGGGAGATGAATCAGTTTGCTGCTCTCTATAAAGAGGTACGGAATCTCTAACAGGATAACACACATGAACATCGGTTAGGTAGAAATACTATGTATGACCTGAGACATTTACTTTGTCATAATAATATGTCGTCTTTGTTTTCTTTCTTTTTTTGTTTCTGTCTTTCCATCGTTATTTCTTTGCATTTTCTTTCTTTCTTTCTTTCTTCCTTCCTCCCTCCCTCCCTCCCTTCCTTCCTTCCTTCCTTTTTCTTGTTCTTTCTTTCTTTCTTTCCTTATACCGTTCTATTTCTTAACTATTATCAATAAATCTATAAAAAAATAACAACAACAACAACAAACAAACACAAACAAACTGCAACCGAACCAAACAAAACAACCACAAACCAATGTCACCCCCAAAAACTAACAAACAAAGGATAACAACAAAGAATAAGCAGACAAAGGCAAATAGCCAAGAAAATGAAAGTTTTCTAAGCACGAACGTGTGGCTTTAATCCTATTGGTTCTGGAAGACGTCACACATGGTGTGTGATCACGTGACTCACCTGTTTAACTGCTCGGCCACATGGGTCAGTACAGCCTGGAAGGCGTCGTTGTCGGCTATTTAGGGGGAGGTAGGGGGTGAAGAAGGTAGAGGTGGAGGGTGATGGGGAGGGGGAAGGAAGGGGGGAGA